GAACTTATCATGTGGATGCACTGAAGTCGACCATCGAGACCGGGATGAAACAGCTGCATGTGTACCCTGCCGAGCCCATGTCCGCATTTCATATTCTGCAAAGAAGGCGGCTCTCTTCCATTATTTTGATGCATCCATCTCATTCGATTTTGTGACCGATCATGGAGTTGTATTGGACTATGCCTTGAGATAGATGTTCTCCACGGAAGATATACCGCATGGCCTCCGGAATTCAATGGGATCATTTTATACGCCTACGCTATGATTGAGGACACAGGCGAGCTCGTTCTGGCCCAGGGTGAACAGGATTCAACTCAACGGTGTTGTCGCAAATCAATGACAGCGACAAGAGCATGGTTATTCCACGACGCGAGGTCTCTGTGTTAATGCGAGCTCCTTATTTGGGAAGGAACCTCCGTATGGCTAAGGAAAAGTCAGCAAATGGAGCCAGTGCAAATGCGGGGAGCACTGGTCAGAATTAGGGGGCTGGCCAGCCACAATTCCTTGCCAAGATACGGAGAATCTATCCTGAAACCAAAAGGCTGCGGGCAGATTCCGAGAGCCATGATATGCGGTGAGGGCGAGATGGCTTTGGTGGTGCGCGGCTTGGCAAGGCGGACAGGGTGAGGCGCTGCTTTACTCGGGGCCAATATTTGCTGGCACGGTGGATGAGATTCTTATGGTTCAGCCTCGTTAACAGACTGTCAATGGCCCGGGAGTTATAGATTCGATTCGGTATCCTCCAGTTCGATGACACATCTCTAGGTTCAAATCTGGGATGCGTGAGTGAGAATTGATATTGATATGGGTTCGGGGGCGGAGAGCACACCTATTTTAATCGGCTTGGAGTGATGGGATGCTCACCTCAAGAATGGTGAGGTTTTCCAAGTCCAGGCCAGGTCAACTCCACGCGGATAGTAGAAGTTTCAGCTTCAAGTTTGATGAGCAAACGAGGAACTTGAAGCCGGGGAAGGATCATCAATGAACGTACCCCAGGTTCCAGCTATTGAAATAGAGACGATTTGGTCTTCTCAGGGAGAGGTCTACATACCAACGTTGACAGTTAACGTCAAGCTGGAGTTTACTTTCAACTTTGCGCGCGGTGCAAATAAAATGAACGAGGTCACGGGGCTTCGTCAGGGAGATCCGATCATCACGAAATTCTCATGCCAGCCTGAACACCGACCCAGCCTTGACCTAGCCGCTGCTCAATACCCCGGTCCTGCAGACAGTCAGCTCGGACGCATCAAGGGATTGTAAGCAGTGATCGGGCATTCAACCCCGCAATAGCAATGTATAAAATTAGGCCGCGCAAACACCATTCAGTATTCTCTCTCCCCCATGATATCGTCTACCCTTATCACACTCTCGGCATTGGTTCTCTCCACCGCTGCTCTGGAGATCCAGAGCACAAACCCTGCGTGTAGGCCTTTCTCCGGGTCCTTCAGCACGATAGCAGAGACTGACAGTGCTTCACAGTCTTCAACGCGGGGATGCAGGGCTGTATCAGTACCGCGTCCAACGCGGATGGCTCGCCCGTCGTGATTCATGACTGCAATACCCAAGACCCCGCGAATCAGGACTGGCAGCTCACGTTCTTCCACCCGCAAGATAATGCGGGGCCTGCGCAAAATGCGGGGCCAGAGCCCATCACGATATTCGGCGACAAGGTTCGCTTCGTAACGCTCCTTCACATTTTTACGCTGGTGCTAACGACCGCCAGTGCCTCGACGTTACTGGGGGCGTCAACGCCGACGGCACAAAGCTGCAGATCTGGACATGCTCGGCGAGCAATAAGAACCAGCAATGGATCTCCGTGGGCGACAATACGTTGCAGTGGGCCGGGACGAACAAGTGCATCGACCTCACCGGAGGGAAGATCACCGACGAGACTGTCCTCCAGCTCTGGACGTGCGGCTCGAGCAACGTAAACCAGAAGTGGATCGGCCAGCGTAATCCTGACAACACTCAGTGAGTCTGTCTACCGCCATGGCCTCCAACGAGAGGAGCTGACCCCGTCTTCAGAGCAGGCGTGGTAACTGGCGGTGACTGTAAGACTTTGCGCCCTGCTCATTCTCTGCGCGCACTGATCTAACCGTTTGACGCACAGTTTCGGCTGGTGGAGGCGGGCCCTACTGCATCGCTGCAGCCTCCGATGCGAACGGCGCTGCCCTTGCCCTTGTCGGGTGCCTCAACTCAGACTTCCACACCATCTTCCCTAACGGTCAGCTCACAACCGCTCTAACCAAAACAATGTCCTCACATTGCTGGGACCACTACAGGGAATATTACCTGGCTCATCCCAATCGCGCCACTCTCGGGCGCACTGCAGACGTTCAACAACAAGTGCCTCGACGTTCCGAAAGGATCCACCGCCAACGGCGTCAAGCTCCAGATTTGGACGTGCACTGCCGGGAACACGAACCAGGTTTTCCAGAATCATAACGGGCAGATCGAGTGGAAGGGGACGGGCAAGTGCCTCGACCTGACCGACGGGAAGTCCGTGAACGGGAATCCTGTGCGTGCTCTCTCTTTCATCCTTGCTCAAATTCTTATGCTGTACTGACGCCATCGACAACAGATCCAACTCTGGGACTGCGCGACACCTAAGAGCAACCCGAACCAGGAATGGTTCTTCTCGAGCACCTGATTCGCTTTCGACTCGATTCAGCCAAGCCAAGTATAATCTGCATTTTCTTTTGCAAACACAGTCGTTACTGTACCGAACGGACATCTTAGCCACTTGCAATGAAGTGTTTAAATTTGCTAGTGCCAATTCGGATTTTCGAAGCTGGCACACCACATATTGAAGTTGAACCCGACCATGCCTTGAGACCCCTCCCCCGGTAAGGATATACAACTTGCTAAATTCGACGGACGTTAGGTGTTCTTTGCTACGTTTATGGGCGAATAGGGGGTCATCGAAAAAGTTCAACCTGTCACGTGGGCGTGGTTCGAATTCGATACCTTCTCGAATACCGCGCATTTTCAGCTGCTCACCCGATAGGTTCCTGCAGAGAGTGTGTGCATTTCGATTCCATACTAGATGTCCCTTATACATGACCTTACTCCCCATCCGTGAAGCGTTTTTTCTACCCTTCCGATTTCAAATTTTAACCAACAATCTCCACTGGCAAGGACAACGGTTCGCGGACGACGACCCGGCTGCCTATTTGGTCTCCTGTGAGCCACCGATGAGCTCGTTTTCATATCTCATAGCTCAGAATACTTACTTTACAGGATTACACTCCGACGCCGAGCCACTGGTGGTTGCCATTGTTGGAGTCGCACTCCCACAGCTGGAGTGGAGTCCCGTCGGAGATCACGCCGCCAGTGAGATCGATGCACTTGTTCGTCCCGGCCCACTGCAGCGTAAAGTCGTTCACGGATATCCACTGCTGGTTCCCGTTCCCTGCTGCGCACGTCCATATCTGCAACTTCGTGCCCTCGGCGTTGACGCCGCCGGTAACGTCGAGGCACTGGCGACAATTAGCGGCAGTCCAAACGCGTGAAGGAGTGTTGAAACGAACCTTGTCGCCGAATATGGAGATGGGTTGCGGCCCCTCAGTTGCCTTGAGCGCAGAGAAGAACGTGAGCTGCCAGTCGTGGTTGGCGTTGTTTTCAGTGATGCAGTTGTGGATGACGGCGGGCGAGCCATTGTCATTCCTTGGGGTGCTGATGCAGCCTCGTATCCCCGCGGTGAGGACTAGGAAGTGCGGTCAGGTTTTGAAATCTTCCTCAACGGCAGAGAAACACGCACAGGCGGGGTTCGAGCTCTGGATCTGTATGGCGGTGGCCGAGAGGGCGAACGCGAGGACGACGAGGGCGGAGGATATCATGAGTGGGTTCGGGAGCGGCGAAAATAAAACTGAATCGTACGAATGTAGTTGCGTGTTTTTGAGGCTGCTTCAGTCTCTGCGCCACTGTGCGGCCGTAGCTGTGTCTGTCTCCGGCCGTAACTCCTTTACGAGTTGACAGTCCCTTTAAACTCGTTCTTAGGCGTATTTTGACTTTTGCCTCGTCCACTTCACATAATGATGTTTCGTACCTCAGTCTTACGACATTCCTTCATTCTTACTTCAGAATCAGAATCTTACATCACCTCATCTTCTTATAGGTGTTGTCACCGTGTTGGCATCTCGCCTTCTGGGCAACGAAACAGCAATGCTGAGCACATTTACCTTGAATGTCATGGCCACACATATTTTACCAACGATGGCTGCGGTGAAGAAGATCAGGATATGTCAGCTTCACATTTATTTTGTCCTTCAATTTGGAGAAGATGGACTTTTAGAATCAACTTTCACCGGTTCACGAGCGTGAGTGACTCGGAGTCGTAGGGTTCAATAAATTTCTATTAGCAGTTCGGAAATTGGTCCGTGCTTTGGGTGCGCCGCGAGAAGGCGCTGTAAATCTTGTGTTTTCAGACGCAATCCATTTCAGCCGTTGGCGTTCGAGAGAAAGGGAGAGGTTGAACTTATCACGTGGGCTTGTATTTCATGTCCAACCGTCGACTCGGTCGAGCGCTTCGTCGGCGCGCATTTGGAGTTAAACATAGAACGCGCAAGAACGCCGAATAAATCGCGAGCATATCAATGGGGCAAGTCGGAAGGACACCGGCGGCGAGCACGGTTTTTATTTTCGGCGGGCTGTAACTGGAGGCTCGAAGAAATTTGAACCTCATGGAAACAACCTGTTCCCATGGGCGACAAGGATCTGAGGAGTGGCTATCGTGTGTACTTGATGCGGTCATACCCATGGGTGGGCAGGATATCGCTAGGCCTGTCAAATTCTGGGTCAGGCCGTTTTCCTCCTCTTCAATATTTTTTTACAATCACAGCTGAAGAATACGCAGCGCGTGGGTTCCATGTCCGATTTACGCTCTCCGAAATTTACGGGCCTGAAGAGGATTTCACTTTGGGGCCCAATTTTTGGGGCAATTTTTTTCTGCCTACGTTGTTTCATGTCTAATCCATAGGGAAGTTGGACACATTAAGAATGACCTGGTGGTGGAATGGTTACCACGCCTGCTGAAAGTCATATGTTCAGATCGTTTAAGCAAGAGATCCCCGTTCAATTCGGGGTCAGGTCATGTCCATGTTGTAAATATTTTCACTCGCCTTTTTGCTGCCTTTCCTTTCCTTACTTTTTCTTAGACTATTACAGCGCACCCTTTACAGCACAACGACAGGTCGTCGCTGTTGGCTGTTTTGCCCTTGTCGCCAACGCACGTCTACATGCCTCGAAATAAATACACTTTGACTATCGCTACTGCGGTCTACCTTCGACTCAAGTCTCAAGCTTACGCTATGGACGTAGCCTATCTCGCCTGGGGAATCTTGTTGCGATCAAGCCGGGTCTACGGTAGTGACTTGGGCCAACAGGCCTCGACGCGTCCTCGAAGCCCCAAAAGGCGGGCGACCATCAGCGCCGAGTATGCGCCATGCTGGGGAGAGAAAGAGAGCCTAGAATATCTAAAGCTCGATGCTTTCCTTCGCCTTGAACTTCCTCCCCGCGCGGTCCGCCGAGCGGAAGCAGAACTGGTTCCCATGCAGATCGAGCCGCGCGTGCGGCGCGTCGAGCACCGTCAGCAGGCCATCGCCCGGCTCCGGGATTGGCAGCGGGGTCGAGCGCGCGTCGTGCGCCGCCGGCAGCGTCGAGTACACCGGGACCGCGAACGTGAATATCGAGTTCTGCTTCGGGAGGACTGCGTGCCGTGAGCCGTGAGTTTCATTATGCCGTGGGTGGGACATAAGAAGAAAGGAGCACACACTCTTGACCGCGTTCTCCTTCGTGACGACCTTGAACGTGCCCTCGGTCTCGTGGATGACGATCCCGGAGATGCCGAGGATGGCGGTGTTCTTGCTCTGGTGGACTGCGCGGGCTGAGGAGTGCGTACCTACCAGTAAGAATTGGACGCACCGGTCATCAACGACCCGTGGAAATCCGCCTTCAGGAGCTTGGGGTGCATCCCCACTCCCGACGGCGCGCGCGGGGCGCCAGCCGTGCGCTGCGGCAAATTGAGCAGCTCAGACATGTAGCCTATCCAAAGATGGTGGAGCGGGAGGAACAGCGCGAATCTGATTCAACATTAGCTTCTTCTCCGTCAAAACGGGCGCAATACCGACTTGGCCTGCCGCTCGTCAAACCCCCACAACCCAAGTTCGCGCGTCGTCCCCTGCCGCCGCCCAAGGCCGCCGAGTTTCTTGCGCTCCTTCGCCGCACGGACCTTCGCCTTCTTCGCATCGCGCTCCTTCTTCAGCCGGCTCTCTTTCGCCGAGTTCTCGAGCAGGAGCATCCGCCCATGCACGCGATTGGCATAGATCTCGGCGGGATTGTACGCAGGCTTGACCACCTCCTTGACATACTTCGGCGTGAACGGATCCGCCGCGGTGAGCTTGAGCTTGACCGGCGCCGCCTTCAGCGGGCGGTAGAGGTCGACCACAGGTTCCATAAAATGCGCCCAAGCAGCGTCAAACACCAAACCGGAAGATTCCATATGCGGCAATTTTCACCGTCTCTCATCTCACTCAAGGCCAAGGCAGAATGAATCTTTTGAGAAATTGTATTGGTTTGGCGATTAGATCATGGAGTCAATCATGTCAGTGTAAAGAAAGTCATGCTAGTAAGTAGGTAACAAAGGGAAGAAAGGAAAGTGAAGGTGCGAAGAGGTGGCCAAGATTTCTTCATTCAGCAGCATCGCTTCAGCCCCCATTCGAGTGCGGCGGGGGCGACGACGCGGCGGCGGGGTTCCCGAGGTACGCCGCGCGCGGGTAGAAGCTCGCCATCGCCGCGGGGTGCCACTCGGGCTGCACCCCGCTATTCACCGCCGCGTTCCCCCACAGCCCCGTAGGCGGCTGCTGCTGCGCGCGCCCTCCGCCGTTGAACCCCACGCCCACCGCTGGCGCGCCCCAGGGCGCGGGCGCTCCCCGCCCCGCCGTCCCCGGCGCACCCCAGCTCTGCCCCACCGCGCCCCCGCCGCCCGCGCGCCGGGCCGGCACGACCTCGTCGTCGTCCGCCAACAGCGCCGCGGACCCGAGCACACCTTTCGGACTCGGCGAGCGCCGCGCGGGGCTCGCCGACCCGCTCCCACTCCCGCTGTGATTATTATGATCTATCGCGGGCGGCCGCGCGATGGGCGACGGGCGCGTGATAGGGCCCGGATCCATCGCGCCCATGAGCGAGGCGCGGCGCCCCGAACCCGGCGGAAGCTTGGGCGGTGGGCCAATGGGCGAGGAGAGCGGGAGCGACGCGGACGTGGGCAGCCCGCGGTGGAAGGGCGCGGACGCGCCGGTGTTCGTGCCCGGGTCGAACGCTGCAGGCGTGAAGCCGCGCGGCGTCGGCGGCATGCCTTGCTGCTGCTGTTGCTGTTGTTGCTGCTGAGCGAGCTGGATCGAAGACGGGCCCGGGCCGAACCCGTACGGCTGCGGCGGCGCGTACCCGCTGCGCGGCGACATGGGCTGCTGTTGCTGCTGCTGGAACATGGGCGTCTGAGGCATGTGCTGCATCTGCGGTGTGAGGGGCGTCTGCGGCTGCGAGTGTGAGTGCGCCATCGAGAGCGAGTGCGGATGGAGCGGCGGGACGGTGCGCGTCTGCTGCTGCTGTGGAGGCGACATATGGCGCGCCGCCGTGGGCGACGCCTGCGAGGGCGGCGACGAAACAGACGCTGCCGCGACCACCGCCGCGGGGATGGGAATCGGCGCCGACGCTTTGTTGAGAATCTTCTTGGGCTGCTGCGCGGCGCTCCCATTCGTCATCGGCGACGGCGGCGCCGCCCGCTGGTTCGACCCCGACGCCGTCGCGTTGGCATTGGCGGGATTCGCGCTCCGCGGTGGCGTGGGCGACACCACCACCGCCGCGCGCGCGTTGCTCGCGCTCTTCGCCGCAGCTGCTGCGCGCTGCTGCTGCGCCGCAAGCGCCTTCTCCGCCTTCTCCTTCGCCTCGCGCTCCTCCTTCTCCCTCACCGCCTTTTTCCTTTCCCGCTCCTTCTCCTCGCGCTCCCGCGCCGCCGCCAGCTGCGCAGCACGCTCCTTGGCCGCGCGCGCCTCGCGCTCCTCCCGCCCCTTGCGCTCGCGCTCCTCGCGGTCCCGCCGCTCCGCCTTGCCCTTCTCCTCCTTCTCGCGCTTCTTCTTCTCGCGCTCCGCCTCCTTCTCCTTCTCCTCCGCGAGACGCTTCTTCCGCTCCTCCTCCTTGCGTGCCTTCTCCTCCTCCTGTTGCTTGCGCACGGCCTCGCGGCGCACGCGCTCCTCTTCACGGCGCTTGCGCTGCTCCTCCTCCTGCGCGATGAGCTTCGCCTTGGCGGCGGCCTCCTCAGCAGCCTTCTCCGCCGCCTTCTGCGCCTCCTTCTCTTCCTTGGCCTGCTTTTGTTGCCTGCAAACGAACGCCCGTCAGCGCAGCTCAACACAATCCCTCATCGACTCACCGCCTCTTATCCTTCTTCTTCTGGTTCTGCGTCTGCTTCTTCGCCTCCTTCTCCCGCTCCCGCTCATCCTCGTCTTCCAGCTGCGAAATAAACATATATCAGCTCAACTCTTGTGCCCTGTCCCTCCCGCGCGTGCATCGCAGACGACGGAACATGATAAAACAGAAAAACGCACCTCCCGCAAAAGCTGCAATTGTCTCTCCTGCGCCACACGCTCCCGGTACGCCTGCAGCACGCGCTGCTCAAACATCCGCGCCGCAAAGATGCTGAACATCCGCTTGCCCTCCTCCATTTTTTGCTCCTCCGTCATAACCTGGGCGCGTGGTTAGCATTCGTTTCGTAGTTGCCATTTGGAGAGGCGATGGGGCAAAGCAAAGGGAGACGCGAGTCGTGAAGGAAGATTCGTGAGGTGAGGCGGCCGAGTCGGGAGAAACGACTCGCTCTCCGGGAGGAATGACTCGTCCTCATCTCCTCCGTCCCCCGAGGACGACCGTATCCTCCTCGACCCCCCGGCTCGCAGAAGCCATCGCGAAAAGCCAAAAGAGAAAAGCACACACCTCCTCCCCCCCCTCATCATCCCCGCTCTCCCCCTCCCCCTCCCCGTCCTCGCCCTCCCCGTCCTCCCCGTCCTCGCCCTCCCCGTCCTCGTCCTCCCCCTCGTCCTCCCCCTCCGAGTCATCCTCGTCGGCGGAGTCGCCCGAGGCGGAGGCGTCGTCGTCTGAGCCGAGGTCGTCCGAGGCGGAGTCGTCCTAAAGTGCGATGATCAGTTACAGTTATACGTAGCACATGGGAATGAGAGGAGGAGGAAGAGGGACGGGTACATGCCAGGCAGGGCACAGCACCCGCACCCGCACCACGGCCGGCCCCTCCGCGCGCGCCGCCTATCCCATCCCATCCCATTCCAGAAATACAAAGAAAACGCACCTCATCCCCACTAACGCCCCCCGCCGCCTCCTCCTCGCGCTGCATCCGGCGCTCTGCCTGCAAAGAAAAGAAAGGGAAACGTCAGTTCCGTTTCAATACATCCAATCGAGGGAAGAGAAATTATGAGAAAGAGGGGCACGTCAAACTCCAAAAAAAGGCGCATCCCCGCCTACAAGAGAAGGAAACAGCATTCGAAAATGCGCGAGACCGCGCAATCGCAAGAAACCGACGAAATCGAAATCGCGAGACCACGCAATAAGGAAGCGAAACGCATCCCCCCCATGCAGACGCGATTGAAATCACAAAATCGCAATCGAAACACGCAAAACCCCCAAAAAGCCACAAAGAAAAACGAAGGACTCACGAGCTGCTCCATCATCTCGAGAAACTTCTGCCCGTCGTTCTTGAGCAGGTCGTCCGCGACGGTGAGGATGCTCGTCGGGCCTGCGTGCGAGGGTTAGTAACCGTTAGGTGGGCGAGGGAAGAAATGCAAAGAGAGGAAAGAGGGAGAGGGAGAGGGCGAGGGAAGGGAGGAGCATGGACGGAGATCGGAGGAATGGGGGGAGGAGAAATATGCGACGGGGAGGAAGGGAGGATGGGACGGGAAGGTGGTGCGGCGGGAGGAAGGAGCCGAATGTGGGAGTAGAAAGGAAAAGAGCGGGGAGGAAGGACGGGACGAGGATCAAAACGGGCAGAAGGACGGAGAATGGAGGAATGGGAGGATGGGAAGGCGGAGGCGAAGGCGGGAGGGGAGTTGGGGTGCGCGACGGGCGACGGGCGGAATGGTGCGGAGGGATGGGACGGACGAGGAGAGGATGGACGGGTGCACGGATAAATAAAGCAATGTAGCGGGGACGGGGATCAAGAGGTCAGGTGGCACACGAGCGGAGTGGCGGGAGGTGAAATGAAGTAAAAGTAAAGGTGAAAGTGAAAGGACGGAGGGAGCGAACGGAGGGAGTGGAGGGAGGACGGAAGCTACATGCGCATGCAGTGCCGTCGGGAGGGAGGAGTGATGGGGGAGCGGAAGCGATAGAGTGAAGTGGCGGTCGACCCCGCCGAGCCGACGCCAGGACTAGCCTGATACGTCGCGACGACACGACAACCCCGACAAGTCGGGGATGAAAGCGATTCGAACGCGGGCGGTCGAGAAAAAAAGAGCCGAAAGAACAAAGAAACTCACCCCCCACGCCGGCGCCGACGCCCGCCGCGATCTTGCCCTTCATATCCACACCTCCTCGCCCCCCGCCCCTCCCCCCACCTCTTACCGCCCTTCCCCCCCTTCCCGCATTTGCATTCCCATTCACGGCAGGCGGCGGCGCGGGCGGCTCCTCCTCGCCCTCCTCCCCGTCCTCGTCCCCCTCTTCGTCCGCACTGGGCTCCTCCTCCTCCTCGTACACGTCCGCCTCCGCGGCCGCCTTGGCCTTCCTGCGGTGGCGCAGCCGCGCCTTCCGTGCAGGCGCCGCGGGTGGGTAGCCGACCGCGCCTGCGACCACGGCGCCGTAGCGGTCGACCTCGACGCTCCCGGGGAACGGGCCCGGGCCAGGCGGGGGCGGAAGCGTTCGGTTCGAAGAGAGGTACTGCTGCTGGTAGAGCGCGTATTGCTCGAGGTCTTCGTAGTACGCGTCGTACAGCACCTGCAGCTCCTCCTCGATTGCGTTCCTAGATCAGTGCGATAACGATGAGGGTGCCGTTGCAGAGAGTGGGTGGAAACACACCGCTTCCGGCCGCAGACTGCGCACGAGCACGAGTGCTTCTGCTGCTCCTTCATCTTGCGGAGGACGGTGTCCTTCTCGACCTTGACGAGGTCCCGTCGCTCGTCTTCTGCGAGGGCGAGCCAGAAGTCGCGGATGCGCTCGCGCTCCTCGCTGGTGCTCGTACTCCATATCTTGTTGTTCGCGGGTGGCTTTGGCTTGTCCTGTGCGGGCGGGTAGTTGTTGGGAACGGGTGCCTTTGCGGCGGCGCGCGCGCTGCGGGGAGCGGGGGGGTTGGCGGGCTGTTGCTGGCCGTACGCCATGGGTTTTTTGCCGATGGAGACGCTCGAGGGCGTCGAGCTGGGTGCCATCCGGGTGCTGGTGTCGGCGGCGGAATCGGGGGTGCCTGCAGTCGTAGCAAATTCTTGGTAATCAGTCGGAGTTTGAATCCGGCCATCACTCTCGGCATCTCCCGCCCCCCCAGGCGGCACCAGACTCATCGCCGCCTCCCGCACGCTCCGCGCAAACTCCCCTCCTCCTGCGGCACCCTTCATCTTGTACACCCCCCCGACGAACTCGCGCACGCTCCGCGGCAGCGCCCGCCAGTACGCTGCGTCCGCAGAGTCCAGCGGCGGGTCCGAGGTATCGACCTCGCGCGCCTCCTCCCCCTCGCCCTCGCCCTCGCCTTCCCCATCCTCCCCCGACTCGCCGCCCCCCAGCGACATGTACAGCTCCTTCGCCGTGGCGATCAGCTCGTTCGTCGCCGCCAGCGCCGCCGCCGTCAGCTCCAGCTCCTCTTCTCCGTGGACGTGGGTGTCTGTGTGTTTTACTGCTGCCAGTAACGGTGCGGGCGCCCCACGCGCGCGCTGCTGCTTCTTCTTCCCCATCGCGTCTTCGCTTGCTCGTCTTGTCCTTCCCTGCTTCCACTCCTTCAGTAAACGCCCACATCCAAAGCACAGGCTACGCACCTAGTCTCTCCGTATCCCAATGTACAGTCCTCGAACGGAGTCTTGATGCGTGAGAATGCGAATGCGACGATGCGCGAAGCAGTAGGATTCGACGAAATATCAGAACGCCGGACACCGACGCGCAGAGGATTCGGAAACAGACGCGCCTCGGAAGGCTCGGGGTCAACACGCGCAAATACACCGCTTTGTGTCGCTTATCCTTATCGTTATCTGATTACCGCTTATCCGTCTTGCGATTTGATGGCGTATGCGAGCCGCAGTCTGCCGCAGTATACTGTATAGATTCGCGCCTGTTGTAGGTAGTAAGAAAATAAATTGTACAAATAAAACCACTCGACAGAATCAAGTCAACCCTTCCCATCAAGGGAGAAAAAAACACTCCTCCTGAAACATGACCCGACCCCGATTCGAACGAGGACATCCCGCTTAAATTCAATAGTTTTGACCACGGAAAGCAAACGTGGTACCAACTCCACCACCAGGTCCTCCTTACCCTAGCCCACCCTCCCTATTTATCAGAGTCTTCGAGCTGGGAAGGAAACAAAATAACTAAAAATGTTCACTACCATGACCTGGCCCCACATCGAACGGGGCTCTCTTACTTAACCACTTATCTGGGAAATCGAAGGTGGGCATGGATCCAACTCCACCACCGGGTCATTCTCACTGACCCCCACCCTCCCTATTTATCAGAGTCTTCGAGCTGGGAAGGAAACAAAATAACTAAAAATGCTCACTACCATGACCTGGCCCCGAATTGAACGGGGACCTCCTGCTCAGATATTGGTTCACTCTCCGCATAAAGAGAGCAAGCGTGCTACCAACTCCACCACCAGGTCGTTCATTCAATCCAGCTAGCTTGAATAAATACCCATTGATTCTCTCAAGTTCCAACTTTATCTACAGTGAAATGCAGAATCAGAATCAAACCCAGATCGGCCACAAGTTCAAAATCAAAATTGATTGACACTGAACGCCACTTCTGTTTCTTCGTGCACACCAAGGAAGAAAAAAAGATCACGCACAACCTGGAATGACCTCGCCCCGAATCGAACGAGGAACTCCCGCTTAAATTAAAGCTTCGCCTATACAGAAAGCGGGCATAGTACCAATTCCACCACCAGATCATTGGCTAACCCATCCCAATCTCCCTATTTATTGGTGTCTTCAATCCTAGGAAGGAAACAAAAATGCTCACTACTATGACCAATCGAATGGGGCCCCCTGCTGAAAATGTTTCCACCTTATTGCTCAGAAAGCAGGCATGGATCCAACTCCACCACCAGGTCATTGCCGACCCGTCCCAACCTCCCTATTTATCGGGAACTTCGAACCGGGGAGGAAACAAAATAATTAAAAATGTTGATCATCTACAATGCCCTGGCCCCGAATCGAACGAGGAACTCCTGCTGAAGTCCAACAAATTCCTATAGAAAGCAGGTGTGACACCAACTACCAGGTCTTCCTTCTCCTAGCCCGCTCTCCCTATTTATCGATGTCTTCGAGCTGGGAGGGAAACAAAATAATTCAAAAATGCCCACTGGCAATGACCTGGCCTCGAATCGAACAGAGCTCTCCTACTGAGAACATCTACTTGGACAATTAAAAGCAGGTGTGGGTTCAGCCACCACCACCAGGTCATTCCTACCCTAGCCCAATCTCCCTATTTATTAGCATTCTTCGAGCTTAGAAGACAAAAAGACGAGAACAAACGACCCGGCCCCAAATCGAACGGAGAACTCCTACATAAAGTAGCTCATCACTTGCACGGTACTATAAGTAGGTATGGATCCTACTCCACCACCAGGTCTTTCCTCTCATGCAACCAACTTGAATAAATACCCCTTGCTTCTTTCAACTTCCAACCTCTGCCAACTCAAGTGACCTACAGTGAAATGCAGAATCAGAATCAAACCCAGATCGGACCACAAGTTCCAAATTGAAATTGATTGAGCACCACCTCTATTTCTTCGTGCACACCAAAGAAGAAAGAAGTTTCCAGGGGAAATAAAAGTGACCTGGCCCTGAATCGAACATGGGTCTCCCACTCACTAACGAATAACGTGGCCAACTGAAAGCAGACGTGGTGCCAAATCCATCACCAGGTCATTTCTACCCTAGCCCAACCTCGCTATTTATGAGAGTCTTCGAGCCTCGGAAGGAAGACAAAATAACTAAAAAGATCTCACCACTACATTATGACCTGGCCCCGATTCGAACGAGGGTCTCCTGCTTATATCTCCCAAATCTGGCTTTACAGAAAGTACATGTGAATACAGAAAGTACATGTGAATCCAACTCCACCACCAGGTCATTCATTTATCTCAACCAACTTGAATTAGTACCCCAAGTTCCAGCCTCTGGTTGAATAAACCATGCCTCAAGTTACAAACTGCAGAATAAAAGAGAATAGAACTTAGATTGAATGAACCTGACCTAAGTACTCGCTCTATTCCTTTTTGCATATCAAAAAAGAGCGGAAAAATAGAATAACGACCTGGCCCCGAATCGAACGAGGGTCTTTTACTTATACTTCCCGAATCTCCACCACAGAAAGCAAACATGGTTCCAACTCTACCACCAGGTCATTCCTTTGTTTTAACCAACTTGAATAATTACCCCCTCAATTCTTTCAAGTTCCACCCTCGGATAAAATAGCCACGACTGAAAATGCACAATCAAAAGAGATCTGGAACCCAATCTTGATTCAAATTGAAATTAAATGCACCCCGCCCAAATACTTGCTCTATTTCTTTACGCACTAACGGGGGAAAAACACTTTGAGAATCATGTCGGAAAAAAGTCATTCAGCTTGCAACGGCATGGTTCAGCATGTGACCTTGGGACGGCTTCGAAGTGCTTCCAAGGCGTGGCGGAGGGACTTGGAACCAGTCTCAAGCCGTTCGAAGGCTTGGTGTGAGTTACAAGCTTTCCTAAGCTGTCCCAAGGTACACATATATTTTTGAGGATCAGAAAAATAGTTTAGGTCAATTCTCGGTGCCTTAGAGGGGTGATTTGACTTGATGCATGCTTGCGCTGGGTTGTATTTTTTCAACCAGTCTTGTTCTCGAAATCTGACAGCTGTGGAGCCCGTGTGAAAAACCTTCAGCAGAGCTCTACCCGGGACGCCGACCAAGGTACATAACTCTGTTGATGACCTCTGAATCGCATACAGACTTGTGTATGCACATTTGACACACACCTTAAAATTAGTCGGGCTACCTCTACTTACTTTCTTCACCAGCCTGATAACTTACTATGAGTCATTAATTACTTTCTTGTTCGCTGACTAGCTACTGTGACTGCAAAGAGCCCCTCTCCGTGAAGAAGGACGTGGGAATACAAATTTTGTGACTTTTCTGAGAGTTATCTCAGAACGCCTTAGAAGCATGGACGTGGCTTGGAAGCACTTTCAAGATTCCCAGATGTGTCCTGGAAGCCACCTTGAGGCATTTGAGCATCAAACGGCTTGGAACGCCTTCAAGGCCGTTTAAAGCCAAATAGGATTTTTCCGACACATGTATGACCTGGCCCCGGATCTCCTGCTTATAAGGTCAAGGGGATTTTCTACAGAAAGCAGGTGTTGGTCCAACTCCACTTACAAGTCATCCCTCCACCTACCTACCTTATGTCTATACCAGCATCTTCGAGCCTAGACACAAAATTAGCTAAAAAGGAGGAAGATAGCAAATGACCTGGCCCCGAATCGAACGGGGATCTCCTATTTAAGATGAGGACTTCATGGATTATAGTGTCGATAGGCGTCGTTCCACAGGTCATTGCAATCCAAGAGCATGAGGTCTTTAGATGGGGTTCAAATGTCCGAGTCTTTCAACTCCACTCCGAGGCTACTTGATGTCCAGAGGACGGATCCCTTAACTCCGAGCTCGATACCGATACTGACATCCGTGGGAGAGCCTATGCAACCAGCCCGAATCAACAGTTGCATTTCTCAGGATTCAATTTCAAGTGAAATGCGAGGCCACGTGACAAGTTCAACCTCTGTATCTCCTCGTATCTCTCTCATTTCCCGTCGAACAACGGACTTGGAAGCCAAGATATGTGCATTATCTTCGAACTCACCCCCGCCCCTTTCCCGAATTTAAGCGATCCTCCACTCCGGATCCGCACGGTCAAACTCCCTAATATCCGACGACAAAGGCTGTCCAAACTGAAGTTGGTTTACTCACGCACTATGTATCCTTCAAGTTTGAAATCTTCGCATTGGAGTCGTTCAAGGGAAAGTACGGGATCGAAATACATACACCGCGTTCGGAAAGAAAAATTGAACTACGCCCACCCGACAAGTTGAACCCACCGAACCGCAATCACTCATAGACATAGCAAAGAATTCCACCCGTCGTGCTTATAACATCGGATATCTTAGCCCGTGGGAAAAGGCCATCCGAGGGCATTGTTGAGTTCAACTTCAAAACAACAGGGTCGGTCAATAAAGTTTGTTGGTTTGAGAGATGGAAGTCCGAACAGTGAGGAACGGGGCCTGGCCATTGGGAAACATGTTGAATATGGTGACGTTTTGCAGCGCCTCTACGGAGCCACCTTGGAACGCTCTGGCATTCGCGGGATGTCGGTGCTGCCAATCGAACCTGTCGCGGGATTAGTTGTCCATCCTTTAGTAGCCCGATGAGCAAGCATGGGAGTACCAGATCTTGTCAACCATCTGTGATCAATCGCATGAGTTCGAGCTACGAACACCTGGGTACATTTTGGGACTTACTGCGTGGTGAAGCCAGAACAGGATATCTAATCATAATTTTGAGTTCTGGAGTTGAAATCATAAAAAAATGCAATTCCGACCATTTGCGGAGAACGTTGGTCCACCCACGCAGCCCGGAGGGGTGGTCGCAGGACAGATCCCACCTAGGTCACTACCCAACTCTCCGTTATATAACTGATAGACGACCGAACCAGATACTCACCCGCCTACGATCGAATGCACTCCTCCGTGCGATCCCTACCGATTCACAAGTCAGCCTTGATCCCAGAATTTGGGCCCCGGTCTCCCAAAACGCACATTGAACGCCTCGAAATGGGTCTGGAACCCCTTGAAATCCCCGACGAACCCATTCACGAGTTTGTTGATCTCCGCCTGGGTGAACGTAGCATTGGCTTCGAGGAGCGGGTCCGTGATGAAGTCCGGGAGCGGGAAGTTCATGTATGGCTGCAATGTGAAGTTGCGGCGGATCGTGTGCGGGGAGGGATACGAGAGGTGGAACGAGGAGGAGGACGAGAACGCGCCGTTGGGGACGCGGAAGTCGTTGGTTGGGTCGCCCCAACCGCCCAGGCCGCTCACAGGATCCGAGTCTTTCAGCAGCGTGGATTCGTATACGTTTGGCGCATCTGGTTTGTGTGAGTTAGTTTCATGTCGAAATTGAACAGGTTGGCACAAGTACCTTTGGTCCAATTCCAATACGGCGATGTTCCGCGGAAGTTGCATTTGGTCTTCAACGCGACTTCGTATACGTGGACATACCAGCGATGCCATGGGAGGAAAAGCCCAGTGAAGTGGATCTGTGGGAGATGGCGTTGGAAGAGTCATCTTTATAGCATCCAGGCCTGAGTACCTCGGTATTGAGATCTTGCGGTGGAGAAATGGGTTAGCGTTATAATTTGCCATCCAATTCAACCTTACCCTGGAACGCTCTAATTAGGGAGCTCGAACTTGAATAGATCGTGGACTCACCATGTGAATGTAAACAAAGTCATCGTAGTAAGACCCAGAGACGTTGACGGGCCCGATTGCCGGAGGATTAACGGTAGGCGATAGTGCGTCATCATGGGGTAGATTTCCGAGACACTGAAACCCGCGCGCGGTGAGCAAAAAAAAGGTCTGGTGGGCGATGAACGAACTTTCACGGCCCTAATCCACTCCGCTTTCTCTGCCTTGGTGAAGGTACGCCACTCCCTCCGGACGGAAGGATGGGTGCATTTCGTTGCAAGGGTCCGAGGGATGCCCTGCAGCAGGAAAAGCGAGACGACGACCGAGAGAAGTCCTGTAAGTTGAGAGAGCATCAGCGGGCCTCGGGGCTTTCCAGTCGCATCTGAATATAAATAATGTACCCTCCACATTTGCGGAAAGAGAACGGAAAGCCGATAGTCGGACACCGCTTAGGAAACCCGTTCTCCAATGGCTCTGGCACACCAAGTTAGATTTTTGATGGAGATGGATGGAGCGAAAGTAACAGGTCATGTTCCGAAGTGTTCGCTCGCGGAGGGATCAGTGACTAGCAAAAATATACTGGGTTAAGAGAGCTGCTTACAAGGGTATTGAATGCAAACGCGGGGAGCCCAATGACTATTAATAGGGAGCTTGACTATTGAAGAGCCAGCCGAAATAATTCTTTGACTTGTGGATATTAAGCGTCCGGATTGTGTTACTGTACACTGTAGACCTGGTCGAGTTCTCCGAAGCATCGCACACCTAGCATATAAATTTAGTGTCAAGAGACCCGCTGATATCGGTCCGCGTGCTTTCCAAGTCGTCCGGGGTACCACAAACGCCGCTGAATTGAGAGTGTGGATACATGTAAAAATTCCGATATGAATAGAAGCTGTAAGATTGTACCTGAGGCTGTACGTTAACTTAAATGTGCGGCCTTTCCCGGACGCTAAAATCCGAACGTGTAAGATGGGCGCCACGAAAGGCTTCGATTTCCGGCTATGCTCAAAATAGAACACGAAAGTTACATGGCTGAAGTATCGAGATCCAGGATGCAGTTCTGTCGGTCCCGTTAATCCAGGCTGCAAAATCCGCGCACGTACTGGATAAAAGATGCCCCAATAGAATGAGAGCCTGAGGGAAGCAATAGAGAACTCAGTTTTGTATGTAGCGTAGCCAAAATGAGCTGGTACAACCGCCTTCTCTGTACAGGATGTTGGGCAGATATTGTGAGAGAGTGGATGAGAACAAGGTTCGCATCAGATCGCGGCAACTTGACGGCAGCCCACATCACTGATGAAATCAGGAGGCTCTCCTTGCACTCACCGTCACCAGGCGGTTGCTCGGTGTCCAGCCGCCATTCAGCTTAGGATCAGCGGCCGCACTGCCTGTAAGTCTGATCTTCTCGATACTTTGTTTCTCCAATCAGATTCCAGTAGACGCAGTTCAACCACGTATCCAGTTCTCACGTTACCCGTCGAGCTTACGACCAAAATCTTTATGCATTGTCTTCCAGTCAGCGAGCTTCCAGGCGGCCCTCCATCATATGACGCCAATTCATCTAAGGTGCTGGAGGATCCGCCCATTCTGCTCACCAGAATCTGCCGAGACTGGAGAGTAATCGCCTTGTCGACGCCGCATCTCTGGAGTCATGTGTGTCTTGGATTTGGCGGAAAGCCCGGGCTCCGGGACCAGTCAGGCTTCATCGATTCATGGTGGGTCTCATTCCTCGAGAGCTGGCTTTCTCGGGCGAAAACTCAACCACTGTCCATGATGGTCTCGAACCCGAAGAGAGACCCAAATGGAGCGCTCGCTGGTCTCTTGGACGGCTATCGTCAGCAGTGGCGAGATATGACCCTTAAACTCCCGTTCAACATATTCCAGCAGTTCTCCACAGCTGCTTCCAT